ATATATATGGCGATAATACCGCTTATCGTGCTATTGAGCCACTCAAAATTACAGCCAGGTAAATTCCCTCACCGCGACAGCCCTAGTTACAACAACTTCCTGTTTGATGGCATTAATAGCATGGCATTTACAGGGTTTCTGTAGGATTTTTAAGCTCAAATTTAAGACCTTTTTAAGACCCTTTTAAGACCTGCACAAATAAAATTAATACCATATGAGCGGGCTAGGGCAATGTCTATAGTACCATATTAAACTGTAAAATTACTGTAAAAAGCATAACTTAAAGTTCAGATACAAGTTTTCACAAAAACAAAAAGTTTTATAAAATTATAAACTTTACATTTCAGCATTTAAACCATTTTTAAGAAAACAGATGAGTCAAAAGTATTAGTTATTATATTAATTAAAAAAATTATTATCAATAAATTATTATATCAATTAAATAACAAATTAGGGGTGTGCGATATTGACAAAAAATGATATCTCGATAATTTTCTGGGATTTTATCGATAACGATAATAAGACAATATTTTGCTATAGAGTGTTATTGTGCTGATATCTTATCTCTAATTGTGCTGACAGCTGACTCCTGAATTTTTTGATATTCTTCATATTCTGTGTGGTCAGTTCACAGCAGTGATACAAATTAATTATTTCCAACTAGTTTTATCGGCATTTTTATCTTTAAGCCATTTTTTCTAAAAGTGTGCACCATCTTTTGAGTTAAATTCTTGCATTTGGGCTGCTACCAAGCAAATGAAATCAGCATCAACAAAATTGATCTTTGCAATGCAGAGGAAACACAGAAGCTGCATTAGAAGTGTCATTTAGATGCATTTACACACTGTTTAATGCAGCTCTGAGGGACATGGGATACTTTAACCTGAAGTTACAAATGCATAAATAATATTTTGATATTTTAAACATAAAATATTAAAAACTGATATTTGTAATTATTGAAAAAGTTAAAAGGTACCTTAAATGTGAAATTAAAACCGCCAGTAGGTGGCAGCAAGTCACTGTTAAGTGAGTCACTGCGATTGAACTGAATCATTTAAACGGTTGTTCATCAGGAACAAAACACTGTCATGTTGCTTAGTGACGCAAAACAGTGTTGTGGCTGTATTTGGAATGATTTTTGTTTGAGAAACAGAGGAAATATGGCGTCTAAAACGTAAGTCTCTCAATATTAACTTCTTGTTTATTGAACTGTTGTATAAAATCAATATCACATTTGTAATCATGCTGACTTTTGGAGAAAAAAAACCGGCAAAATAGATACATTTTCTGCCCCATATCTTGAATTATATTTTAATTATAATTATACTTAATAGACTGATTCATGCAGTGAAAGAACGCACTATAAATACGCACTAGTCTAACCTACTAGACTTCATCATGTAATGTATGCGCGCACTCTGTAGGTGTGTTTTGTGTTTGCTTTTCGCGATATACTCATGGTCTGAACTCTAAACAAAACATCGGGCTTATTGAAAATGTTCATTCTCTGCCAGCAGGTGGCACGTTTGGTAGAAATATAACTGTTTCCCCGGTAACTGCTGTACACAAAGCAGCACAGCACCGGACTTTGAACATGCACCGTTCATGTTCATTTCATGAAATCATAGCCTTTTGAAGTTTAATCGTCACATCCAGCCATATCGCAATTCTGGTCTTTCCGTCCCCAAATTTAAAGGGGTGGTTCACTGGTTTTTGTTCACTGGTTTGATTGTGCTTATGGGGTGCAGTCTAACATGTGTTAATGCTTAGTTTTTTTAAAAATGCATTATTTTTCACATAATTTACCTTTTCACATAATTTACCGCTCTGTCCCTTTCTTTGAGAAACTCGCTAATCATTTCCTTCTTTTATGAAGTCCCTCCCTCAGAAATAGGCGATGGGCTCTGATTGGTTAGCTAGCCCAGTGTGTTGTGATTGGCTAAACCGCCTCTAGTGTGCGTCTAAACGTCCCGCCCCTCACCTCGGCGGCATGTGCTCCTGTTGTATTGTAAACAACAGCGTCGTTAATAACGATTATCAGTTTGAGCCCGATTGAGAAGCAGAGGATATTATTGAAGAGGATCGTGCAGAACCTGTGCAAGCACGGCTTTTAATGGTAGGCCTATGTTTTTTGTTTGTTGTTGTCTCATACTTTTAGATACGCTGTTATTTGTAAATGCTACTGCTTATGTTAGCTTTTAATATACGGTTTTATCCAGATTAAAGCTTTAATACAGTACGGCAACTGCACACCCGTCCATGTTTAACGCTTCTCATAGCTATATGAAAATAAGTGTATAATTGTAACAGTTTTTTCCCGAGGGCGGGGTTTATCTGGGTTTGTGATGTCACGAACCTGGGAAGTAACTTGTTGTAGTCCCTACGAGCCGTTTTTGTAGGCATTAAACTGCCAGAATTTAAAAGACGATATCTCCGTTTGCATTGCACTTTCAACTTCGTAACTTTGCAGATATTGTTTATGCTCAAACAGCAACATTACACACTAACTAACCTTAAAAAAGTGAAATCGCAATAAACCACTCCTTTAAGACCTCTTGAAATCATAATTAAGACTTTCTTGTACAATTTAAAACTTTTTGAATACAAAATTTAGATTAAATAAATTTAAATTATTAGATTAATTTAAATAAATAAATTAATTGTAAATAAATTTAAATAAATAGATAAATTTAAGACTTTTTTAAGACCCGCGGAAACCCTGCATTTACCACACAATGGCATATTATACTGTGTTGCTAATAGTGCATCACAGTATCAAACATGTGACTTCCTATTGACAGTAGGTGGCGCTATGACTATAACTGAATCTTGGCATGTAGATGTGGTTCAGGCCAGGACTCTCATCAAACATGTTAGGTTCCGGGCAGATTGGACACTGCATTCCTGAGTTACATCAACTTCCTTTTTCACTGCATTAAAGGGGTCATATGATGCCTATTTTCCACAAGTTGATATGATTCTTTAGGGTCTTAATGAAAAGTCTGTAACATAGTTTGGTTAAAATTTCTCAATGGTAGTGTAAAAACACCTTTTTTTACCCTGTCAAAAACAGCTCTTTTCAGATCAAGCCATTTTTGTAGCATTTCCCTTTAAATGTTAATGAGCTCTGCTGACCCCGCCCCTCTCTTCCGAGCTGCTCTCAGAGAGACTGTTTACTTTAGCCGCATTCATCGTGAAACTTGCTAATTAGCACATTATTAGGAAAGGCGATTTGCAAAGATTCATTACAAAACATTATACTCCTTCTGTAGATGAGGCTGGATCATGAATGATTCGCGCGAACATAGAAGCATTTAGGCAGATCAGGGGAGCATTCCCTTCAGAAACAAACAAAATCCACTGCGTCTTCAGCGGCTTCTAGCATACTACAGAGATCTGCACATGACATTCAGAAAAAAAATCATGTGTATGAATTAAGAAATCGTTAAGCACTTTTTAATAAATTGTTGCAGATAAAATGTGAGCATGTCTTTTTTTAATTCATTGCCACAATCTAACTAAAACATTCCCATGTGTTCATTAATTATTAATAAATTAAACATATATGTTAATACCTTCTTCCTGCATGTCATGTGCACGGCTCTGTATATTACACATTTTCAAGGTTTACATAAAGTCTGGGGACAGTTATACTTCCTAATTATTGCAGGTTTGCATATAAAGTTCAATGTTTGTTGTCCCTTGACAGTGTAAATCTTACCACTGACAGAGTCCAACTCTCCCAGACTAGTCTACTTAAACCTTAAATGTCTTTGTTTTATCTTTGTTTTATGTGGCCGGCTGCATTGACTCCATGCAAAAAAAAAAAAAATCTATTTATGTTTCACTCGGCAAATACTTAACACTTCTGCTCTGCATTAATTAAACGGTCAAAAATACATTTATTCACTTGAACCATACAGTCTGTTCCCTCTCTAAATGTCAAGTCAAACATTTTCAGACTTAAAGCAATTGTCAATCACTTGCCTGGTCATTTGGGTCCATTTTGGTCATCATGCGTTCCTCCAGAAGGTTGAAGGTCAAAACCTGAAGCACGTACAGCTGATGTGCCATTTCAGCTTTGACCGGTCGATTCCCTCGGATGATGTGCTAGAAGGCAAGTTTAAAAGGACATACCATCAATGCTGTTACTCGCAGGGTTTTTTCCTAAAACAACACTCTCATTATCACACTGCTCCTGAAGAACTATAAACTGATGTTTCTATACACACACTACTGGGCATACGTTCTGTGGAGAAGACAGATCTGATCTGTATTCCATCAAAAGATGCTCATTGAGAATTGATGGGGGGGGGGAACTGTCACGATTTACTAAAAAACATGCAGTGAAACATTAGCCATGAAAAGCTGTGGCCATACTTTTTGCTGCTGACCTTACTGCGTATGCACTTGCAGGAGTTTCCGCATCACACATAACATTTACAGGAGGAGAGCATTTAAATGAATCATGCAAGGTGATTTACTAAGGTTTGCGCTGGTCAATTTACTGGTATTTGTGTCATTATTTAACACCCAGAAAAGCATGTCTTGACCTATTCTGCACCAGTATTGTTAGTCAGTCACCTGCACTTGATTATAATCTGCTCTGCTCAGTTGCGACCTTAAGCTAATTAGTGCTGCTCTTGGTAGATTGTGTTGGTCATTATGGAAATGATCTGAGTCCGTGTTCTTTAATTTGCTCATTGTCAGTAGATCAGAACTTTCCACTGCTGATTTACACCATCACTTCTGGATCTGTGTGCTCTGAATCTGCAGTTCCTCATTAGCAGAAACATTTAGCAACTCTGTCTGAAAGTGTTTAGCAAGTAATAGGATACCAGTAACAAATGCAATCTGATGGCATTACGTATGGATTTACACTTACATTGAGTATGATGCCACGGAGGTGTTTTTGAGCCAGTGTACTCGCCATCTCCTGCCATGAACACACACACAGATCACACACATCAGCTGGTCTGTGAATGTCTGAGCCAGACTATCACCACAAACACACAGCACAGACAGAACCACGGCAACAAATACACAACAGACTATTGAGTTTTGAGAGCATCCAACACATTGATTGATGAAAGTCACATTGTTTCATTCCTGAATGGACCTCAATTTTTGAACAAATATTGACTGTAATATCAGGACTAATTAAATGCTGCTTGACCAATAAGATATGAGGACTGTTGTATACAAAAGAATAAGTAACTATACTTTGGTTTTGCTTTTTCTTTGTGTGACAGTTTCCTACACTTCTGTTTTTTGCTGTTTGAAATGTCTGACTATTATAAACAGACTCACTGAATGCTACAAATCTATGTTACTTTTACATGTTAATAGATCTGTTACACTTGTGAATGATGGTCTGGGAACACATCGCTCAGGTTTGTGTCATTCCTGATGTGATTGGACCTTTCAAGCAGCAGTGAGTTGGTTTGTGTCTGTGTGCACCTGGCGTCTGTCCTCTGGGGTTTTGAGGAACAGGGCGTTGATGAGGGCAATGGCGTACGTCTGGATCTCCTGATTGGACCTGCAGGGATGATCGTACACACACACAGTTAGAGGTATCTTGCTCTTGAATTCCAACACTTCTGGACTCTAGACCATATGTCACTCTCTCATGTCTCCAGCCGACTGGAGCTCGACCTCAGGAGACGAGAGGGCCACGTTCAACCGCCACCATCGCTGAAGGTACAATACAATTACGCAGTTTTGAGTGATGAGCTCTTGAGGAAAATAATTAAAAGGGTCATGAAATAGAGAATCAAAATGTTCTTGATATTTACCCATAGGACGTTACTCTACAACTCTGCGGTTAAAATATGAATGATTGCGTTCTACCCTTCTGAAACGCCCAGATTTGTGACCCTGGAGCACAAAACCAGTCATAAGGGTACATTTTTTTGAAATTGAGATTTATACATCATCTGAAAGCTAATGATAGGACAATATTTGGCCGATATACAACTATTTGAAAATCTGGAATCTAAGGGTGCAAAAAATGCGTAAATCTAATACTAATCAAGTTTTGATATATTTACAGTAGGAAATTTACAAAATATCTTCATGGAACATGATCTTTACTTAATATCCTTATGATTTTTGGCATAAAAGAAAAATCAATAATTTTGACCCATACAATGTTTTTTGGCTATCGCTACAAATATACCCCAGCGACTTAAGACTGGTTTTGTGCTCCAGGGTCACATATA